TGGAAGTGTATCCATGTACTGGAAGTGTACAGGGGTAGGAGAAGCAAAAGATGGAGCAATGCATACAGATTATCCATTGCTCCACAAAGACCATTAAAAGACTAGTTTGTGCTATTTCTAAAGTATCCTTCACATAATTAGGTAGCATAGACAATGTATTTTTTTTTTACCTATAGGCACTTTTCAGTATAAAATACAGGCATATATCAACTTCCATCCTCTCTACTTCCCCAAATGTCTGATTTGCCTTTCCACTTACTTTCTCAGCTTGTTAATATGTGAAGCTTGACATGTCAAGAGCATGAGTTCTAAAGAAATGCATGTGAGGGTATGTATTTCAAAGCAATTTAGCACAGATAAAGAAGAAAAAAAGTCCTAGGTAGGACTTTCCAAAGTTGCTAGATCCTGACCTTTCCATGAAAGCTGCTCTTAGGTGATATTTGTACTTTAAGGAATTCAAAAATGGTCTCTAGCTTTAAGCAAATTTGCAGTATGAAAAATGTCTAATTTATAAGTGATTTTAATAGAATCCTGCATGTATTTGACATGAAGGTTTTAGAAAATAACTGCTTAGTTTTAGAAGAGAATTTATTTGGGTTGCTTAGCTAAACATATCCCTAAAAAGTACTTATGACAATGACAAAAGTTCCATTTCAGAGTTGTTCAGACTGTTACATTGCCATGAAGAATTGGTTTTTTGAAGTCTCCAGGGATACCAGAATTAGACTCAAATATATATTCATTTAAAATCCAGATTTGTCATGAGCCTTAGGTAATTTCCCATCAAAAACGAAGGATAAGAATCAGAGTTGTAATCTGATACCTGCTGATGGATTCACATTTTACTGACTTATAAAACTAGTATGTTTGATTTGAGTGTTTTGTGAGCAAGTTCTCAATTTTCCAACAGAACCATTAAAAAAAAGTCAAGTCCTTTTAAAAAAAGGAAAGGAGGGAAACTAAAAAAATCTATCGAAGACACATGTTTTTCCCAAGAAAGGTTGAGAGGGAATTTGGACTTTCTTGGCCTTCAATATAACTGGGCTGTAGAGCATACTGAAGAAAAACAAAATGAAGGCAGAAAAACCGCCCCAAATAATCCCGCTAAAATTTAAGCACAGTTCCTGGTGAAGCATTAGTGTGTTTGAAATAATATCTTCCATAGTTCAAATCATGCCTTTTGTTCTGAGTTATACACGGTATTTTGCAAACAAATATTTCATATCCCAGTGACCATCCACCTGTGCACCACAAGACATTAAACAAACCATGTAATGTGTATGACGTGAAAAGCTGCTCAGAAGCACCAGGAAAGTTGTCATTTGGACTCAAGGACTGGTATTCAGAGATCCTGATTATGACACCATTGTAGTTTGCTGGTTTACACTGGCAATGGAGCTACTCCCTGTTTCTCTCCCAGCTGGGGCAAACCACTCTCCCAGCTAACACAAATTAGGAGACTTGCTGACTTACTGCTGCCAAGGCACTTTTCAGACCCTTGGGTAGAAAGCATGTTCTGAATGCTGTGTTCCATCAATATACAGATTACAAAGCCATTTGTCAGATGGTGGCAGGTTTTGATCCATGGCCGAAAAGAAATCAGATTGCAGAATATTTTTCAGGGGCAAGACTTCAAGAGACATTACTCTTGATGGAGCACCTTAGACAAGCAACCCATTTTTACATGGTAATTTACATGCTGAAGCATAATATAAATGTTAAAACCTTAGATGACTTTGGAGCAGGAGAAAAATATTCCCTTGCACTCCTTCCTGATCCAAAGTTATGTATAGCCTCAGTACTTACTCTTTTTTCAGAGCTCTGGCATTTCTTGGACTTCCATCACTGTCTCTAAATAAAAATTCTAGGGCACAGAGAAGACAGTAATTCAGGTGATGGCTTAAGGAACTTTGCTTCTCAGCTAAAAACTGCCAAAATCAGAATTACAAATTATTTGAAGTAACAATAGATGTTACTTCAATTTTATTAATGTTCTTTCAAAAATACTCTATTTTTAAATGGGAAAAACTCACCCCACACCTGTGTAACACTTAACTGGACTGCAGAGAGAATGACTGGTTCTGTGTTTTGGTTGAAACAACATCCTAAATGCCTGTGGATTGGAAGGATAAAGGTCTATAGTAAAACATCTGCTGGAGATAAGCATCCTTAAAGAACTGTGCTTTAAATATCTGAGGGTATTTTGAATGAAAGATTTAATGGCCATTTTCACACTAATACCATCACATCAGAGGGGGAAAACAGACATAATTTCCCTAAGTATATCTGCCAAAAAAGCTGAAGAAATTCTATTTGCATTACTGAAGTAAGAGAATATAAGTGTATCTATGAGCAGCTGGTTGAAACTTTCAGATGGCAAATTATGCATAGACACTTAAATGAGTTTTTATGTGCCATGCTGTGATGAAGGGAATGTCTTCCAGCTGGGATGTAGTCAGAATAACTGGTAAACTTTATCACTGTATTATGATGTAAAATTTATCATTGTATTACTGCATCCATAATTTGAAAATAGTACTATTTCTTTTTTAATATCCAGCTTCCTCTGCTGGGCTCTGTGGGCTAAAAGCATAATTGCTGAATATCATAGAGATTCCCTGAATCCAGCCTTTTATTTCTCTATTATGCTACTTCATCACCTTACTTTACTCCCAACAGTATTGCTTTAAAAATTAGGCATAGAGTGTTCGAGCTCATTGACATTAAACAAATTGGTATTTGTTCTTCACTTAGGTTCTATGTTTTAAATGTTTCAGGTTTATGAAAGAAAAAAGTTAATTCAATGCAAATTTAAATATTAATCAAATGTGAATTTGAAGTTTACTGAAGAACTGCTACGATACACCCTATCTCTCCCCTTCATTCCTCTTAGCTTTCATTTTTATGACTTACTTAATTTTCTTTATTTTCTGACCACATGCTGACTCAGCTACTGACATACTTTTAATTTAAATGAGATCTTTCACTGACATTAGTGGGAGGCAGAGGTGCAAAGAGACTTCCTTGAGCCAGAAAGAATACAGAACAAGACATAGACAGGATTAGCAATTATGAGTACTTGATTATATAGGTTAGATAAGGGTTTAGCTCATTCAGATTCTGTAATTCTTTCTTTAACTGCTTTAACCTGTATGTCTATTGTAATTGCCTGGTGATTTCTAAAATAAATGAGCAAGCTTATCCAACAAAATGAAAAAAATCAGACACTTGGAGGACACAGAGACAAAAGTATATCTAGAAATACATATAACACACACATATACACACACGTCTCCTTTTTTGAGGGTACATATATATATATGTATAGTTTTTCTAGTCTTACTCCTACTGAGATGTCTTGTAATAATTTACTCTTATTTTATGGCCGTGGTTCCCATACTATGTTCCATTCTATGTGCCCACAGAAATTATTTTCACCTACTCACCAGGCTGATGGTAATGGTATATATGATTCTCTGACTCTATTTGTTGAAAATTTTTCCAAGTTCTACATCTGTTACTTGGTTTTGGGACTCAATTACTCATAGTTTCCATTATTTTAAATACTCCTTTCCTTGTGTTTTCCTCATTGATATCTTTAATTATTAATTCTTCATTATTTTCTTCTCACCAGCTTCATTTATCAAGGCCTTAGGAGCTCTTATGCGTTATGATTTCTTTAAAAATACCTGGTTTACTATTATACAAAATCACAAGGAAGATTCAATACATATAATTTCAGATCTTTGATTTTTACAGACTTGGTTTTGGAAAGTTGCCATCAATAAGCACCCTACCAACAGATGAAGCCTTTTAGATCATTAATTAATTGTGTTAAAGAGAAAATTGTTAGGCTGACATTATGTCAGCCACGGAGAATGATAATGTATGAATTAATAAGTTAAAGGTTCCCCCTAGTTATACAGATAGCTGCCTCAATTTTGGGTTAGATCTATCATTTCATTTCAGCATTTTAAAACAGTCAAATAGTAAATAGTAAAAATGAAAGGAAAATCATCATTTGTCTTGAACACTGGGATGTATACACACTTTAATAACTACCTAGAAAATAAATTGTGAGCAGCAAAACCTGCCCCAAACCTCATCAGATGAAACTTGGTGCCTATATTCATGAATCTATCAACTTCCCACTGAGTCAGCATTGTGCTAGCATGCAAGTCATTCTCATCTTTCTAAAATTAATTCCCTTGTGAAGAAAACATGAGTTCAGGGGATGTGCCTAATTAAATATGGTTGCATTTTCACATCTGCCCTGGATTTTGGAGGGCCTTTTTCTATTGTGATTAAATAGGCCAATTTCTGGCCATGTTTTTCTTACTGGTAAAAAACTGTGCAATCCATGGAGCTTATTATGTTATGTCCCAGGACACAAAGGAGTGCCATCGTGAATATGAAAACACTTTTAAAACCACCAGAGCTATCTCTTACTTTCTGTATTAGCTGACTGAATACATCAGGTGAGTTTTAACACTCTGTGTGTATTTTGTGTACTTCAGTTTGATTGCATATTTTAATAAGAATTCACTGTCACAATAATAAAGTGTTCCCACTGAAAATGCAGTTGGTTTTCCAAAGCTGTTGGAAAACAGCATTGAGGCATGATATTCTTAGTCAATGGAAGTTGATTGGTTCAGCTGTCTTTATGTGAAGCATACATTTATAAGTAAACAGCTGGACTCTCCAGAAGCTGATCTGCACCTGTACTGCCTTCAACATGCCCTGATAGTCAATTAATTTCATTGGTTTTGGACCCCAGAGCAAAACTAAACCTGAAACCAAAATGGAACAGAGGTACTTGGTTTTGCAAGGACTGCCCAGAAAGGATTCAGATCCATTCCACTACCATCACCTTGGCATAATGAAATCACTGATAAAATAAAAATCAATCATATAAAATGTTGGCAAAGTTATCTCCAATGGCTAATCTCACCCCCTCCTAGAACTTTCCCATTTTTGCTTGGAAGTGTGTTTACTCTTACCTTCAGCTTCTATAACAGTTTGTGCAAAGAAGCTGGGTCCAATCATGACTGAGAACTTCCTCATTTAATTAGTGTTGAAATCCCAAACGGACCAGCAGTTTCCCTGAGATTTCATTAGGAAAGTTTTATACAGATTTTAGTGGCTATATTCATGGTGAGCAGTGGAGGCATTGGAAGGGAGAATGGAGGCATTTAATGGTTCCACCTGTTAGTGTACACAAGATTGCATGATTATCCATTTACAACAGCCAAAATGGAAACAGCTGTCCTAGAACAATTTAGAACTTTATCCTCCACTTAACTGCACAGATGAATAAAAATCTATTTCCAAAGCAAATTATTCTGGATACCATCTAAAGGTATTTAACAAGTTATTTACATTTGTACTAAGGCTTTTGAAGCATTCAGATTCATTCATATGTTTTATCTTTAAAAAAAAAATTGCATGAGATTTGATACAAAAGCTATGAGACATACAGTGCAGGAAGGCATCTCCAGCACAACTGGGTGCAACTCCCTAAATGCAGCTCAGCAATCAGCTTCCCTTGTTACTGCTCTTCTAAGAGTCTGGATAAGAGACTGCCTGTGGTTGGTGCCATGGTGCTTTGTAATGTGTCTCTGTCTGAGTATCTTTAAAGACATTGCAAAAAATATTATTTGGAATGCCTTGAGCTAGTACAGCCTCTCTACAGACTGAAACAACAGCTGTCTCATGTATTTTAAAAGTGCTGTCTCTACTGGTTTCCTCCCAGCATGAAAAGAAAATTACAAACATTAAAAGGCTTTTGGTACACCCAGATTTTGTACTGGTTTTTTTTTTTTTTTTCTTTTGCCTCCAGTGCAAAGCATTATGCTTTGAATTTAATCCCAAAGATCCTGCTGTCTAAAGCAACAATGTGCATTTGGGGAGAAGCACTTTTCTGAAGATGCAGATTGACACAGTGACCCATGTCTTTTCTGAAAGTGTCACAGGGCTTTTGAAACCAGCATGGATAATCCAAATATTTTAGCAGTAAGAAATCTGCAACAGCTTTCTTTTCTGAAAAACCATGTGCTGCTCAAATGCCTCAGCAGCACTTCTGTGGAAAGATGGGTGAATTCTCTTACCACAAGTATTAAGGAACAGCTGCTTCAATAATAGATTTGAGGAACTCCCCAATTCTCCATTCTCTCTTCTGCTCCCCACAGAGTGAGAAGGCAAAGAGGATTTATTTGAAGCTGTGCTATGTCTTTAGACTTCTTGAAAAGCCAAGGGAATTCTGTATAGGCACTCTATTTCCATATGAACTAATTATTTTGTCCAAGTGACTGACTTTTGTCTCCAGACACTTTTTCATTAGTTCTACTTAATATAGTCACTCAGTTCTCTATATTGTATTTTCAGTACCTCCCCTTCATCATGTTCCATGACTTTTTTTTTTCAATTTGAAAGGTCTTCATCTCGTAGGGAGATTCCATGTAGCTTAAAAAGGTTTGAACCCATTTATCAGCTCTTTCCTCAGCAAGGATGTTTACAGAGCCATCTTCCTGCCCACAAGTTTCCATTAAAAATTATAATAAATTATTAATTTTATAATAATTAATTACTATAATTCAGTTAAAATCTAACTTTTAAATTATTTATGAATTATAATAAAACTATTTATTTTAATTATTTATTATTATAAATTATGTTTCTTTATTAACTAAAACTGAAATTAGGTAACAGGTTACAAATTAAGGAGAACATATAGGCAGAATGAAGCACACATGCACAAAAACTTTTGAGTCTTCATTCATGAAGAAATCATTAGAGAAATGGGGAAAATATTGTCTTCCAGTAAGGAGGTAGGGTGACCTTTTTAATCTTGAAATAATCTCCTGAAACGGTAACAATAATAAGTTCTTGAAAAAAATAAATTTTGATCGAATATAATTTATTGATTTTCTTGCTTTGAATTATTTGGGAATTTGTGGTGGCATGCAGCTCACTCATGGCTCTTCAGAATAAGACTAGGGGCATTCCTGAATTTGTTCAATGCTGCTTTGCCATACTGAGTTACTCAGATACACAAGGTCTATTTGTGTCTGGGACACTTTATCACATTGCAGAGTGATAATATTAAAGCAAACAAAAAAATCCTCATCCTTGTTTTGTAATGCAGCACAAAAATAATACAAAGCATGGTTTAGCTCAGGGAGATGATATTAAATAATATGTCCCTTGAAAGCCTAGGGGGTTAAATCATAGTAGTAGTGCACATTGTAATGGCTTATGATGCTTTGTGAGAAATGATCAGTGTTTCTCCTGCCTGTAATGCAGAAGGAAAATTTCCTCACTGATAACATGCTATGAACATAGTGAGCCCATAATTTCTCACATTCATTGCAGACATCCAGCCTAATTCTTAGTCAGAGTGTAGGAAGCACAAAGCACACACAAGTGGTGAAAAGTGCATTTGAAGGTTTCTAGTGGGACTTGTTTATTTTCTCTGCTCTTATCTAATACTCCTTTTGACTAGAAGTTACTTTGCAAGTCCATCATCATGCTAAAATGTGTTATTAAATGTTAATTAAGTGACTTGAACTTCTAAACCAGTTCAATGATCAGGAGCATTCAGCTAACATATATACTTGTTTCTTCATCCTAGACCAGCCTGAGGTTTCAATATCTCCCTACATAAGATTTTTTCCCCTATATCTCCTTGAAAACTAACTTTGTTCTGTAGTTCACTTGATTATAATTTTCTGCATTGGCAATTTCAGTGCATTGACACTACTAGTCATTATACTAATTTGCTCAGCCATAATAAAGAGAAGCAGCTTGAGGTCCCCATCAACTACCACAGGGCAACTGCACCATGGGTGAGCTATGATCACTGTTGCAGCGCCAAATCAACCTCTTTGGCCCAGATAAATAAATAAATAAATAAATAAATAAATAAATAAAAACTTCAGACTCAACAATTCAGTCATGCTAAAAAAAATTCCTATCTCATTCAAGAAATCCTTTGACACTAGTTTGTTGAATGAATTGCATTTACTGCAGGTTGAATGTTTCACAATCACAAACTACAAAACTGTCGCTAAAAAACACATAAGGGCTGGAGATAAAAGCAATAAGGATTAAGAAATAACAGAAGAGAAGAGGTACAGATCTGCCCTGCCATTGCCATAGCACACAAGCAACCATGTTGTGTCAGATGATGTGAACATGATGTTCTTTGAAGAGGTCAATAAAAGCCTTATGAATATTCTGCTTGAATAAGTCTTTTCTAGAGTCCACAGCAGAACTGTGTTAAGGAATCTTTTGAAAATATTTGCAGAGTATATCTTAATGCAAGTACTTCAATCTTCCAAATAGGAGGTTGAAAACATATATTAGCAGTATTTATTTACTCCTGAATGTTTGTTGAATAAATGAGACTGCAAGAAGTGTACTGTGAACTGCTCATTAATTCTTGATCAGTTTCCTCATAGTTGCAGAAGTTTGGCTTTTTTGAGAGAAAACTGTATTTCCCTGTAATATGAAGATCTTCAAATTATTTACTTTGATTTTTTCAAAATATTAAGTGTTACCAAATATTTGATATGAGATGCGACTGGAAATAGAGGGTAGTGTGCAATTATGCTATGCCATGTAGTTTCCTGAAATAAATAACAGCTGGCCACTTACACTATTATCTGATCTTACTATTTTCAGTGAAAAAATTACTTCCTCACATATTTACAACTATCTTAGAAGGCCAAGGTTCTCTTAATCTCTGGGAAACTACCACTGAAGCTGAAAACACAAATCAGAGCTATGTTTTTGAAGAAATAATAATATAATGAGGAAAGAAAATGATCTTAGGTTTGATTGAAAGCTTTTTGACTTAAGGAAAATGTTGCTATAAGTAATTCTAAAGCTATAGAAAATCAATCTGTTTGGATCGTTAAACCTGGACTGAAAATAAATGGCTCAATTCCATACCCAAAAGAGAAAGAGCAATATTGTCTCCTATGTGTCCATTTTTGCTCTGCTATTGCCATTTAATAAGATATAAGAATTTTAGAAAATGGAGCTGTGTCTTGTAAGTCATCAAAAGTCAGTGATGGGTAGTGAGGGGTAGTTTTCTTAGAAAGTTAATCAAACTTACAATCCTATTAATAATTGTTAATTAATATTGTTTTCTAGGCTTAATAATCAATCAGCACTGCGTCTGTATTGCAGCCATGGTACTGCCTTTTCTGGGCAGAATTTTATTCTCAAATTCTAGTTAAGATAAAAAATGTGTTTCCTTTTGTGTATAAGTATACATGTGAACCATAATCAAGAACAAAATACTTCAGAAGACAAGTGTAATGCAGTGAAGGACAAATCTGTGCAAGTTTATTTTGCCTGACTATATTATTGCATTTAAATCTTGTCTTGGAATTTGTGTTTCTACTATTAATTACTTCCGAATATCTGAACTAAAACTTCCATAAACCAGCCTTACAGTGAAGTACCAGGATTTTGCTCCTCATACTTTGGCTTTGAACACCGAATTTAACACTGTATCTCTGACTGAAACCAGCATCATAACTTTTGATCATTATTGATCGGGTATACACGACTAAAAAGCTAAGATATCTTTGCTACTTTTATGGGCTGCTGGAGTTTATGGTATTTTTACCACACTTAATCAAATTTATTTGCAGTTGCTCTCTGATAGAAATTTCTCGTTCAAATTGTCTTCAAACAACTTCAAAGGTTGTTTTTGTTTTTGTTTTGTTTTTTTTTTTATTTCTCCCCTGAAAATTCCCATCTGTATGATTGGTAGTGACATAATGTGATGTTTTAAGGTCACTTCCTATCCAGTCAAGAGCCTCACCATATGTATGGATGTTTCATATCTACTCCCCCTACTCAGAATTCTTTCTTTCTCTTCCATGCTAGTAGACAATTTATGAAACATATATAAATAAGCAATGTACACAGAACCAAACATAAAAACAGTAACTCAGGACATTATATTTAGAGGGAGGCACAGATTAATGAGTGAATTTATATATGCACAGTCTGTGCCTTGCAAAGCTCTGAAGCTCCTAACTTTAAAATACAACTTTTATGTGTTGCGATTGTATCCTTTTTAGGAGTCTTAACAAAATTTTCTCTGATTTGGAGGCGAAATTTATTTCCCTGTGGAAGAACTGCTCTGCACATCAGAAGGGG